GAGCTGCTGCTGCTGCTGCTGCTGCTGCTGCTGCTGCTGCTGCTGCTGCTTCTGCTGCTGCTTCTGCTGCTGCTGCTGCTGCTGCTGCTGCTGGCGTGCGAGGTGGCGCACGCACCCGTTCTCGCTGCTGCTGCACCAGTCGCTGCTGCTGCTGCTGCTGCTGCTGCTGCTGCAGGGTGTTGAGCGCGGTGAGCGAGACGCCGCACATGTACGGGGAGATCCTGCCGCACTTGCTGCCAGCTCTGGACGTTTTGCTGCAGCAGCAAAACGCAGATCATTTGGAAGACACAATTTCTCTTTTGGAGTTTTTTTCTTTTTACTTGGAAGCTCCTTTTCCGGCGGAGTTGTGGGGTTTTTTCGAGCGGCTCTGCGACGCCGTCTGCTGCAGCAGCAGCAGCAGCAGCAGCAGCAGCAGCAGCAGCAGCTGCGGCTGGGCCGCCGACCACTTGGAACATTTGCTGCCAGTCTTCTCCAACTTCATTTCCAGAGACCAAATCACTTTTGCTGCTGGCAGCAGCAAAGCAGGAGTTCCTTATCCGCGCTGCATCTTCCAAGTGGCCCAAAGCGCCATTCAAGACGCAGATGAAGTATCCTGCTGCTGCTGCTGCTGCTGCTGCTGCTGCTGCTGCTGCTGCTGCTGCTGCTGCTGCTGCTGCTGCTGCTGAGTGGTGTGCTGCTGCTGCTGCGTGGTGTGCTGCTGCTGCTGCGTGACGTGCTGCTGCTGCTGCGTGGTGTGCTGCTGCTGCTGTTGCGTGGTGTGCTGCTGCTGCTGCTCGTTGTGCTGCTGCTGCTGCGTTACTTGTGCTGCTGCTGCTGCTGCTGCTGTTGCTGCTGTCGTTGCGTTTGCTGCTGTGGGTGTTGGGAAGATTCAACTTCGGGTGTTCATTCTGCTGCTGCTGCTGCTGCTGCTGCTGCTGCAGGTGGAGGCGTGCATGGGGCTGCAGCTGCTGTGCTCGCTGCTGCTGGGATCAGCAGCAAAGCGGTCTGTGGACGCGCTGCTGCAGCCGTGTCTGCTGCTGGTGTGGCAGTGGGTGCAGCAGCTGCAGCAGCAGCAGCGGCGAGTGGACAAAGGCACCAAAAGGTGTTTTATTCTTTTCATTTCTTCGCTGCTTATTTATGCCCTCGAGCCCGCGCTGCTGCTGATGCAGCAGCAGCAAATGCTGCAGCCAGTCATTGCTTTTGTCCTTTCCAACGCAGACGTCGTCGAGGCGTGAGCTGCTTTGCTGCTGCTGCTGCTGCTGCTGCTGCTGCTGCTGCTGTGGCTGCTGCTGCTGCAGCTGCTGCTGTTGCTGCTGCCGGCGCTGTTGCTGCTGCTGCTGCAGCTGCTGCTGTTGCTGCTGCCGGCGCTGTTGCTGCTGCTGCTGCTGCTGCCACTGTTGTTTCTGCTGCTGCAGCAGGGTGCAGCAGCAGGGTGCAGCAGCAGCAGCAGTTTGGACAGAAAGCATTGAAATAAAAGTTAAATTCTTTTTGATTTCTTTTCTGCAGGTACGAGCAAAGGAAGACGCTGGTGCTGGCGTTCGCGCCGCTGCTGCGGGCGGTGGCAGCAGCAGCAGCAGCAGCAGCAGCAGCAGGAGGCGAAGCAGCAGCAGCAGCAGCAGCAGTGCCCGCGTGCCTGCTGGAGCAGCTGGGCCCGCTGGCGCAGCTGCTGGCGCGGGAGGGCGTGGAGCTGCGGGCCATGAAGGACAAAGCAGCAGCAGCAGCAGCAGCAGCAGCAGCAGACAGCAGCAGCAGCTTGGGCTCCGGCAGCGACAGCGAACAAAGCCTCGAAGACTTCCAAGACGCAGAGCTGCATCCAGCAGCAAAGTCTTTGCTGCTGAAGTTTGAGTCGGAGTGGGAAGACGAAGACGACGAGGACTGCGACCTCGACCTCGACGGGTCTGCTGCTGCTGCTGCTGCTGCTGCTGCTGCTGCTGCTGCTGCTGCTGCGGCTGCTGCTGCGGCTGCGGTTGGGCTGTTTTGCGGCGGTTGCGGCTTTTTTGCGGCGGCCGCGGCCGTTTTGCTGCGGATGCGGCTGTTTTGCTGCTGTGGCGCTGCTCTGCTGCTGCTGTGCAGCAGCAGCGCGGCTCTGCTGCTGCTGCTGCTGCTGTTGCTGCTGCTGCTGTTGCTGCTGCTGCTACTTAGATAGTTCTTTTGCGTCCCTTCTAACTGCGTGCGACTGCACTGCGGCCGCACTGCTGCTTCCGCGCACCGATTCGCTGCTGCTGCTGCTGCTGCTGCTGCTGCTGCTGCTGCTGCAGGGACGACAGCTCGCTGCGGTGGGACCCTTTGGAAGCTGTGGATGAATTGGCTGTGCTGCGGGAAGCTTTCAATTCGCTTCCTGCTGCTGCAGCGCAGCAGCTGCAGCAGGAGCTGGGCGCGGAGAAGCTGGGGGAGCTCGTGGGTCTTAGGATATTTCTCGAAAATAAAATAAATTAAAATTGTTTTATTTGTTTTGTATTTCAATTTTAATTCAATTTCCAAAATCTGGAAAAGGCGTAAAGCCAGGCTGCGCGGCATAGCTGCAAAAAACGCGAAAAGGAGAACGTGCCCATGTGCTAGGGTTTAGGGTTTAGGGTTTAGGGTTTAGGGTTTGGGGTTTTTGGTGTTGTGGAGAAATTCATTCTTGAAGAGAAGGAACTCGAAAGGCCCAAGATAAAGAATAAATCAAAACTAATAATTAAAATAAAATTAAAATTGAAATTAAAATTAAAATAAATGATAAACAGTGAGCATTTGCTGCTGTGTCTTTGCTGCAGCACGCAGCACTGGCCACCGCGAGTTCGTGATTTGCTGCAGTTGAAAACGAATTGGAGAAGAAAAGAAGAAAAATGGAATTTAAAGAATTAAAAAGAATAAATGAGGCAAAAGGGAGCAAAAGATGGCGAAAAAAAGCAGAGAAAAGTCGAGAAAAGAAAAAATCCGGAAAACTCGATGAAAGAATTCAAAAAGCTGAACAAGTCCAAATCTCGTTGTTCTTGCGCTAATTCAATTAATTTAAACAAATAAAACAAATAAAACAAAGTCTTGCATGCATTTACATGTCAAATAATATACATTTTGCAAAATGTGAGAAATTCAACTTTTGCAGATTGCGCATGCATCAGGTGTATGTACACTTGAAGAAGAGCTGTAGCGTGGAAAGCCGTCCGGATCTCCTCATTTAAATGGACTTTCTGCCGAATCTTTTGTGTAAATTCAATTAATAAATTAATTAAGGCCTCGAAGGCCACTTTTAACTTTATTTGTCTTCGAAAATTCTTCACCAAAAGCTCCTTTTGGCGAGCTCAGCCTCCCGCCAGGTGTACAGACACCTCAGCGCTCTGCATGCAAAAGGTCTTTAAACGTTTTTTTGGGAAATAATTCAAAAATTGTCCAAAAATAATTCAAAATAAGTCAAAATAAGTCAAAATAAGTCAAAATAATTCAAAATAATGCATGCAAAAGCTCTTACTTGCTTCAATCTAGACTAAACATCTGCTGCTGCACTTGTCTAGATACTTCTCCACAAGTCATTTATATATATATATATATATTATATAAAATGTAATATATATAACAGATAATAATTAATAAATCACCTCTAACACATTAATGTATATTTACAGATGACCTGCTAGCTTAACAAATGACTTGTGGGCGTTTAACAGAATTTCAAATATATATATGTATATATATACATATATATATATATATATTTTATATAAACTATATATTTATATATATAATATAGAAAACATATGTAAATAATATGCATGTATACATATATATAGATATATATATATATATTTATATACATATATATATATGTATATAAATATATATATATATATATATATATTTATATACATATATATATATATATATATGTTTGAAGATATACTTTCTATACAGTACACATCTGCATATCTTTCTACAAATTTATCTTTTTCCTAATAAATGTATATCCTCCAAAATAGATGCACTTAAGACTCATCCTGCTGCTGCTTCGAAGCTCTCTGCTGCTGCTGCTGCTGCTGCTGCTGCTGCTGCTGCTGCTGCAGCAGCAGCAGAGCGCGAAAGTGTCTTATTCTGGGGTGTCTAGACAGCTGGCGTTTGCGTGTCTCGCGTTCGGTCATTTTCTCTGATATCTTTTTCACTTTTTTTTCTTTCTTTTTGCATCTTTCTTTTCCATTTTGCATTTCAATTATTTATTTATTTATTATTTCTTTTTATTTCTTTTCTTTATTTCTTTTCTTTTGCATTTCTAAATTCCCCTTTTCGCCTTTCGGCTGCAAAGAGCTGAAACGCCCACAGCCTGAGTCCAAGCTGCTGCGGCATTTGCAAATTCTTTTCTTTTTCTTTTTCTTATTTCCAAATCCAAAGACTGGCAAAATAAATAGTCAATTCGAAGCAACTGAGTCGAATCCATTTGCTGCTGCTGCTGCTGCTGCTGCTGCTGTTGCTGCTGAAGCTGGCGGGTTCAGTGAGCCGCTGGTGGAAAAGGAAGAAATCTTTTGGAGGAAAAGACGCAAAAAGAGTTTGAAAGATCTTAAAAAAGAAGCAGCAGTCTGGAGGGAACAAATGCGGAAATGAACGGAAAAAAAGAATTAAAAAAGACGCAAAAAACGCGCGGTGTCTGTACACCCCAGCGGGGTGTCTGTACACCCCAGGGAGCTGCCTGTACACCCCAGGGAGCTGCCTGTACACCCCGTCGGGTGTATGTACACCGGAAGTGTGCTGCTGCTGCTGCTGCTGCAGCAGCAGCAGCAGCAGCAAGTGCAAGTTGTTTCTTTTGAATGCAAGTAATTTCTTTTCATTTGTAAATTGTAACTGTTGGCAAATGATAAATGTTTGTAATTGTTGCTTGTCTTTTCAAGTCTTCGATTTCCTTCTTCAGCTGCGCCTCCGCCGCTGCGGTGTCTGTACACCGCAGCTCCCGCAGCTTCTCCTTCGCCTGCGTTCAATAGAATTTAAAACTTCATTTAAAAGAATTTAAAACTTCATTTAAAAGAATTTAAAACTTCTTTTAATTTCAAAAGATGTTGAATTGAAAAAGGCATTTAAAAATATATTTAAAAACATTTAAAAATGAAAAAGAATTCAACAAAGTGCCTTTTTCCAAAAATTCACTTTTAAGAACTTGCATGCGCTTTAAGACTCTTTCTAAAGAATACTTTTTATTTATTATAAATGTTAAATATTTATTTATTTATTATGAATAATAAATACTTATTTATTATAAATGTTAAATATTTATTTATTATGAATAATAAATACTTATTTATTATAAATATTAAAAATTTATTTATTATAACTTTTAAATATTTATTAATTATAAATATTAAACATTTATTCATTGTGAATATCAAATACGTATTTATTACTTATAAATATTAAATAATTATTTGTTATTTACAAATACAAAATAATTATTTATTAATTACAAATATGAATTAACAAATACTTATTTGTTAATTACAAATACAAAATACTTATTTATTAATTACAAATATGAATTACTAATTTATTATAAATTTATTATTTATTAATTACAAATATGAATTACTCATTTATTATAAATTTATTTCCCAAAAATAATTACAACTTCTTGTAAATGCATAATGTAATATATAATATTAATTATATATATAATAATAAACATAATATATATATACAAATATATATATATATAATATATAAACATATTTATA